AGATTATCTTCTGTGTCTGTGTTAATTGGTTTCCCTTTTCTTTGTTGAAGAGGGTCTGTGCAATCCTTCTGCCTAGTCCGCCATCTTGCCAGAACTCCAAATGAATCAGTTTTTTCAAACAACTCTTTAAATTATTGATTGCCATGTTCAAGAAAGTTAAATACACATGACAAATTAAATCCCATGCTCAAAAGAATTAACATTTTCCCTTTGGAGGGTATGATAATTTGGGAATCTAAATACTATTTCTTCACTGGAAAGGCAATTCATTAAACCAAACTGTTCAAATGATACCTCCCTCCATATAAGCTCAGGTAAAGATTATATGGTCATTCAAAACATCAGCAAAAAAGATACACAGAGCCTCTTCTTAGTTACACCCCCGTATATATTTATAATTATCTTGAAGTAAGACAAATTCTTCTCTTCTTTGAGATAGAGAAAATACACTTTCATCATTAGCCATGCTTTCAGAAATGAGATACACTAAAGCATAAGTTGATAAGTAAACTTTACTGATGATGTTAGTATGTACCTTATCCAAAATATTCCCTGGTTAATATCACAGCACATTTTAAAAACAAAAGGAAATCAACTGCCTCTGATAGCATGGTTACATATCTAGAGGAAAAATAAGTATTATCTAGTACATTAAAGGTTAAATAATAAACAAATACTGAGTTATTTTGGAAAAAAATATAAACTTAGCTCTACCTGTGAGATATGGCAGGTTTGTGGCCATCTTTTAGGCCAGGTATATCCTCATGCAAATATGCCAATCCTCTAGCCATGGTTTCTGCAATATGACACAATTCATTCCAAGAGACCACATTAGCCTTAAGGAAGTCTGAGAGTGAACCCTAGAGGGGAGAAAAAATTAACATACAAAAAAACAAAACTTATGTTTTTGACAAAAGCCATATGGAGAATTTCCTTTTTACTTTTAAAAAGTTACAGAAGGCAACATATCTTCCACTCAGTAAACAATACTATCCAAAAAGCAATCTTTCTGAAATGTTAAAGGTTCCTTTTACCAACTCACCAATAATAAACATTTCACCAGGAAAGAAGACCACTAACATTTAAGAGTTTGTGTAAATATAGTTGGTTAAGTTCATTCTATTTAGAAAATATATATTAAGGGGGGGGGGACACTAATTAAAAATCCAAAGTTCTAGGACATGTATAAAAAGTTAAAATATGCTAATTATAAAGATCATTTTACACCTGACAATGATGAAACCTATTACCAAGGAGAACACAATTTCCGATGTCATTAACCGTACTTTCATCCGAACTCTGAAGGCAGAAAAACTGAGGCAAAATAGCAAGGATGTTTTGGTGACAATTATCTACAAGTTAGTGACAGATCTAATACCAGATAAATTTCCTGACTTTGGCTTTGACACACAACTAGGTTGATTAAGGAGATTTACGACACAAAATTCAAACTGAAAAATGGTTCATGCAATCAAAATGGATCTTACATGATAAAGGAAAATAACTAAGACTTGGTTATACAAAAATATGTGTTTGTATCACTAAAAGAGGTAACTGCAGCACAGGAAAAAAGGGACAAAAGGACAGATTGCGATTAAGAGCGGAGAGTTAGGTGAAGGTTTGCTATTTTATTAAAATAAATTATATTTAAAAACAGACTTTATATGAGTGATTTGTACCTTCAGGTTAAATAATAATCAAGGCACTCGACTGCTAATTCAAACCAACCAGCCACTCCTTGGAAAGAAGGTTGGGCAATCTACTTCCATAGTGACATCGCCTCACAAACCCAAGGAGAGGTCGTTACGAGTCGGGTCCAACTCAACAGCACATAACCACCACCACCACCACCACCTACCATCTCCAGAAAAATAAGTATGATGGATTTGTAGCCAACATTAGGTAGATCAGTCAACTCTGATTTTACTAAATTAAAATGGAAAGCAGTTTTACCTTTTCATGAAATGCTGTTATTAGCCAAAGATCCACATCGACACTAGAGCCTCGTTTTTCTGCACCAATAAACTGTAATATATTTTCATGCTTCATTCCAGGCAAACTATAGACTTCATATTCATTTTGCCACGATTGCTTGTCCTAGAGTTTTTTTAAAAAAAGAGTAAGGACACAAAGAATACAGATAAACCATGTCTAAGAGATAACACAAATAAGACAAATGTTTTTTAAAAAATAAAGCATTAAAAATTCCTTTTGTTCTGTCTTGCATTTTAATAAGAGAAAACTCTGAAAATAGGTAATAGTTCTATTAAAATCCCTGCCCTGTCTATTATCTCAAAATAGAGTTTTCTGTATTTCTAGTTTGCATACACAAGAGTTGACTGGAAATACTGTGCACTTCTGTATCTTGCAATGACAACAGAACCTGATTACAAGTTACTATTACAGTCCAGTTTCACCATGGTATGAATAACTTGTTCTCCAGCCACTCCTCAGAAGGCAAGTTGGGCAATCTACTTCCGTAGTAGTACTGCCTCAGAAACCCAAGGAGGGGTCACTATGAGTTGGGTCCGACTCGATGGCACATAACAACAACAACAACAACTATTCAAAATAATTGCCTACAAGATGAAATTCAAGGTAGACCATATGATCCTCAGTCTACATGACTATGAGACCAGAAGAACTAGATGGTGCCCAGCTACAACTGCCAACCATTCAGAGGGGGATCTATGTAGGTGATCCTGGACAAAGTGGGAGAACAACGTAGAACAAAACTCAAAATCATTTAAAAAAAAAAGGGACCAGATGTGCTGGTCTGATAGAGCCTGATGAAACTGCTGAGACTGTGGCCCCTAGCTGCCCTTCAGGTCTGGAATTGAACCCATTCCCATGGCTTCCAGCCAAACAAAAGACAGGCATATGAACTGAATATTTACATTAGGTAGATCTACTCCTTGGAAAGATCAATCATGGGAGAATAGAAGGGCTGAATATGCTCAGGGAGACAGCTCAGGGGGCAGAAGGGCATGGGGGGAAAGGACACAAGGAAGAGGTAACTATGGGGAAGAAGTGAGGGGGAGATGTTGCACTGTGGGAAATTGCAGTCAATGTCATGAGACAAAGTATATGTGAGCTGCTGTATGGAAAGTGAATTTGCTCTGTAAACTTTCATCCAAATCACAATAAAATTTTTTAAAAAAAGAAAAAAATTCAGGTAGAATCTCTTCATTTAGATAGAAAACAAATCTTTGTCCGATGACTAATATAATAACAAACATTCCTCACAAAATTTTTAGAATTCCAGGAAAAATCAAGTAGAGAACAATGGGGCACAAATGTGTATGTAATAAACCAAAGAAACCAAGCCCTCTGCTCTGGAGTCAATTCCACCTCATAGCAACTTCAAAGGGTTTCCAACGCTATAAATCTTTACAGAAGCAGACTGCCTCATCTTTCTCTTGGGGAGCAACTGGCAACCTTTTGGTTAACAGCTGAATGTCTTAAACACTGCACCACCAGAGCTCCTTAATAATCATTAAAAACACGTCATATATTCAATTGTGTTTGCAAGTGATCCTGGTCTAATTCACATCTACTTATAAAAAATTTGCTGCTTTTCACTAGGAGCTCTGGTAGCGTAGTGCCTAAGGCACTTGACTGCTAATCAGAAGGTTGGTGGTTCAAACCCACCAGCCACTCCTCGGAAGGAAGGTTGGGCAATCTACTTCTGTAGTGATACGACCTTGGGAACCCAAAGAGGGGCTGCTATGAGTTGGCGCTGACTCGACAGCACATAACAACAACAACAATGAAAGTATGACAAAACAGAGGCACCACAGCACAACAGTTGGGAGCCCACTGGATTCCAACTATCTAAGGTTGAATCCTGGCTCTCCCAGTAACCTCTGACAAATTACACGATCATTCAATTCCCTCATTAGAAAAGTGAGGATAGTATTATCTCCTCATATGTTGTGATTATATATTGTATTATATGTATGTAATACACACACACATATATATATATATTTGTTCTCATTAATATATGTAAAACATCTATATTTGACACAAGAAAAGCATTCAGTAGAATGTTTAAAAAAAAAAAAAAAAAAAAACTCACTGCCATTGAGTCAATTCCAACTCATAGAGACCCCTCCTTGGGTTTTCGAGGTGGTATCTCTATGGAAGTAGATTGCCCAGTCCTCCTTCTGAGGAGTGGCTGGTGGGTTTGAACCGTCAGCCTTCTGGTCAGCAGTCAAATGCCTCAGGCACTACGCCATCAGAGTAACATGTTGTTGCTGTTGTTGTTGTTATGTGCCATCAAGTCAGACCCAACTCATAGTGACTCCTCCTTGGGTTTCCGAGGTGGTATCACTATGGAAGTAGATTGCCCAACCTTCCTTCTGAAGAGTGGCATGTTAGCTACTGTTATTACTACTGTTGTTACTCTTAATATCATCCAAATATCTTTCCCTAATTTTTAACCTTCCTGACACAATGTAGCATCTTCTTCCCTGATCTCAATTAATGTATCTTGGAACAACAGAATAGAGTTTTCCTCTGAAAACCATAGCTTACATTATCTGCATTGCTAACAATAACAACAAAAAGGAATAAACTTTTTCACACATTCTAAGAAATAAGCTCTAAAGGGGACATGACTACAACTTAGATATATTAAGACAGAGAAATTGATTACATAACTGTGAAATATAAAGGATCCACTACCTAGGTGGAGTGATAATGAGATCTGTCCACTCTAGAAAGCCCTCCTTCATCACCAGGCCCAACCAAAATCTCAGTACGATGCATATCATTAGCTGCAGGGGTCAACAAGCAAGAGATGGGGATGGAATCATCCCAGATCTAGCCCACCAGCAGAACAAAACAAACCATAAGAGGTCAAAGGTTCAGTAGACCATAGTTTTATGGGAAGGCCAGGCCCTTTAAAATAAAACCAATTCAATAATAAATGAATTATCTGGAGTTTTGATTCACTGCCTCTGAAAACTCACCAAACAACAACTAAAATGATTATATAAACACTGAAGGTAGTAAGAATCAATCTGATGGTATACCTTGAAACACCTATTCTAAAACAAAACACACTACTTTTTTTACTCCTCTATTTGCTTTTTCTGATACATTGATGGGATGATAAAATTTAACCACAGATGATCAGTTATATTTTTTATTGGAATTTTCATCTTAGCATTTCTGTAGAACATTATTGGTAAATATCTCCTGCATATTCATTTATTGTAATTTCACTACTCCAAACAAACATGATGATTGTTGTTCTAAAAATTCTATTTCTCAGATGAGAAGGCAAACACAAAAGGGTTAACTGCTTTTCCCAGTGTCACCAGAACCACCTTGAAACAAAAGGCTTTCAAAATGTTCCTGAATTACAATGACCTAAGCCAGCTTGTATCTTTGAAAAATAATTATACAAATTAAAAAACTGCAATAAACATACCTGTATTGGAAATATTTTGACAGCTACATATTCATTGAGCAACTGGGCTTTCCAGACACAACCAAATCTTCCCCTTGCTTTCACTTCCAGTAACTGTAGTGGCTTTAAACCTAGCAATGGAGAAGGTGGGGGTGGTCCTGGATCCTACAGATAAACAATAATAATACTATAAATTAGCAGCACATGATACATACCAATTCTGAAAATGAGAAAAAAGGTAAGTGTTTGAAGAATCAATTGACAGAAACAGTAAACACATACAGATGACATTAACTTCAAACTTGCCAGAACTAAGTTCTTCAGTATTACTAATCATCTATATTGACCATAGGCAGGCAACTTGAATGAAGAGTTTTCATGATCATAATCAGGACTCTTGCAATGTATGTATAGCAGGAGAAAAAAAAAAAAAAAAATGAGTATCTTTTTATCCAGTCTCACTATGTTTCCCAACTGAGATTCTCTGAATTTGGGGATACTACTCACAGTATTCCACTGGTTTCACCCATTTTATACTTCCTTACAGGATAAAGATATGAAAAGTTCCAGAAACAGCAAATTGTGGCTTTGTGTCAAAGTAAACCTCTCTTCAAAATCTGCTAATTTCTCCAATTTTAAATATTTTCTTCATTAATGTCAGAAACAACCACAGACATTCTCAAACACACTGCAGAGAGGTATATCAAATAGACTATACATAAAAGAAATATAGAAGTTAATGTTACTATAGCCAGAATGTTAGGTTCATTCTAATTTTTTAACATAATAATGATTTTATACCTGTGCTTACAATAACTTCCCAAAACTGATCTAAGATTTTAAAAAAAGTTATTAGTGTTCTGGGGCTGACTGGCAAGAAGACTACAAATAATAATGCAGAAAATATATGACCATTGTTAGTCGATAACATAGTAAGGTAAACAAAAAAGAAGCTGTATTACTCTAGTTCATAAATAAAGTAAATATAAACAGGAGTACAGCCATTTAAAAATCACAAGGGAATCCTCCCCATACAAGGTACACAACATGGCAACCCTGATTGAAAGCATCGTATCAGTTCAACATCTGTAACTAAAGCAATATATACTGTAGAAAGCCTGGAAAGTATCCAAAGAAAAACAATAAAACTGTCTCAGGGGCTGCATAATGAATATTGTAAAGAAGAACTTAAAATTTCTGTGGCAAGAACGATACGCATTATGCTATGGGTGATACCTAAGACACCTGTAAATGTCACGGCACCCTGTATCACTGCATCATCTCCACCTCTTCTCCCTCTTCATTTTTTATCTCATCTAATGTCTCAGCCCACAGGTGCCACTGGGAGAGTTTAAAAAGTTGACATCTACATTAGAATGACCCTCAATAATAGAAACATTGTGAGGTATTAACTAGAATAGATATACACTCTCTTTTCCTAAACTAAAGCAAACAATCTTTATGACTTGAAAATTTCTATTTTAAAGCAGTAAGATAAACTATACAACTACCTGCAACTCATTTCAACCTCAGATATTTATTAAAATGTCTACAAAAGCTGCTTTTCTTTTCTGCCTTCAAAACATGAAAGGTTCAACATTTTAGGTTAACGGAGTGATGGATCAAGAAGAGCAGACATAAGTGTTTTAAAAAGTAGGGTCTCTAAAGTTATGATTCTCATGGGGGTGTGGGTAGGGAGGGACTCAAGAAGCTCTGGAGAGGTTTCATCAATACTACACACCCCCTCCTCTACTCACTAACTGATATCTCTACACATAATGACAGATTCTACTGGTAAGAGTGTGTTGCATATACGAATGTGTAACAGGAAGGAAAAAAAACACCTAAAGGTTGAAAACTACTCTTCTAGGGCAAAGAAACCCATTCAGTCCTCTAGGTACAAGAAAAAATGAAGCTAAATTAAAAAAAAAAAAAAAAATCTATTTTGAAAGACTTTAATTATAAAGAATTATAAAGTCAATGATTCCCCTCTTTTAGAGCTAAATTGGAAAAAGAGAATTTTCAAAACAAGTATGCCAAAAACTATTCAGATAAGTGCTGGTAACAAATACTATACACATTATCCATGATCTGTTCTAAGGGGTGCCAACCACATGAATATGATTTCATCTAGAAAATAGGATTCAGATGATTTAATTCACATCTCAAATTAAGAATATGGCATAGTGCCTAAGGCGTTTGACTGCTAACTACAAGGCTGGAGGTTCAAACACACCAGCCACTCCGCAGAAGGAAGGACTGGGCAATCTACTTCCATAAAGATTTGCTGCCTCAGAAACCCAAAGGGCGTCACTGAGTCAGAATGGACTCAATGGCAGTAAGTTTGGTTCTTTGGAATTCAAGATATAATTTTAGCATAATATTAACCTTAACTTTAGAAAACACAATAATTTACAATATTTATGTTTAGAAAATATCATGAGTAAATGTTCGCCTTTAAATGTATAATTAAATGTCAAGTCACCATATTTTCAAGGCTGTTTGGCAAGTTTCTATACTACTATTATTTTCAGAAGGAATCTTATATCTCCTTCTTAATTATATTCAACATTAGATCATAGTAGTCAGAAAATACAGTTGTCAAAATTATTTATGAGTAGAAAGCGTAAATTCAGAAGAACACTAGCTTATTTTCAATGAGGAAAAAAGTCTAAAAGGGACTTTCCTGTATAGTGTCAAAACTTTTAAAACTGATATTTTAAAATGTAATTTTCAATTGTATTTTACAATTATCTAAAGAGTTTAGTTCAAAAATGAGTAACTTTGTAAGAGAGTACACTAATCAATATACCTTTTTGCTTTCTTAAATAAAAAAATTACTGGATTCTTCTATTTCATAACCTTCATTTCATTATATTTGTTTTTATTAAAAGCTTTAACTACATCTCAAATACCTAGGCTTTGCTTATCCAATAAGAATATTTCAGTTTATTAGCATCATTATACTATTTTATACACAAAAATTCAGTACTTGATTCTAGGGATAAAAGTTTATATCTTAAAATATTCAGAAGCCTCAGGAGACAAATTTAAACTTCATACCTGAGAGCAATATTCTGATGCTACACACAAAAACATGGCTTTATCACAAAAAAACATGGTTACATTAAAAAAAAAAAAAAGTTAAACAAAATACTTACTTTTTTGGGCAACTATAAGGACTAAGGAATTCTTAAAAATCTTCTCTAAGGCTACAGTTCTCTTGCAATAGTCATGCTATTTTGCAAAGCTAGAAAAGTTACAGTTTAGAACATGACTTTGATAACATCTCTGCTTTACCCATTTGTATGGGAAATTTATAGCACCAGAAGACATCACGTTGAGAAGCAACAAATGAGGACAGCTGTAGAAAGCAACCCCCAACAACACAACCACTCAGTATCATTACCATAATCAATACTGGAATAAATGATTGAAGGTGGGGAACTCAGAGCAATCTTGTAATCATTTCACTTACTCTGGTTATCTATTTGAAGGGTGAATTCTCAACTAAATGTACCATTAACCTTCCAGACGTCAACAGCAAAGATCATCCAAAGTTATACTTCTCTAGCCAATCCATTTGCTAATGATACCAAAGCTGAAACTACCTGAAAATATGGATTTCACAATAGAAGATAATGGTCTGGACCGAAAAAAGATAGCCTCTTTTTAAAATGAGCACATACTGACATTTAAGCTAATGGCATACTATAAAAATTAACTATACAAGATTTTTAACACAGGAAATCTAGTCATTAGGTGTTAAGCTTCTGCACTTTCATTTTCTTCTCTTAATAGTAATCAACTAAAATAATTGTTTCTCCATTCTACCTTGAGTAAGTATAAATAATTTAAACAATCCTTTAAAACTAAAAACTGATACTATGTCAAATAAATCATGTTTTTAATACTAAAAGTGCTAGAGAAACCTCTATAACATTAATGTATAAACTATAAAGGATGCACAATAAAGCAACAAAAAAAATCTAAGAACAAAATGTTTACTATCCACAAAAAATTCCACAACCATAGAACAAACATCAATGTATCTTACCTCTATCATTATATGAAAGGCGTGCTTGTGAAGAAAAAAACACAGGCAAAAGAAATTAAGATTTATATCCAGAATGAAATGAAAAATGACACATCAGTTACAAAAATGAAGGAAGAAGAATGGCTTAGCTTTTAAAAATTGGCAGTGATCCAATTTATTTATTTATTTTTTAATTAAATGAAGATACAGAGAACACTTTCCTTATAAACTGAGGAAAATAATATTTAAAAAAAAAAAAAAAAAAAAAAACCTGGGGCACAAGATGAGAGGCAGTAAACAAATTCTTTACTCTAACATAACCCAAATTACCTGATCGACGGGCCTTAAGCCAGCAAATAAATTAAACCAAGTCTTAAATAATTATTAATTATTTTTCTCAGAGGTTCTAGAGTCTAAACTATAGCAGTAAAATAAGCTATTCAAGTGAGAAAGATATGAGTTGAGATTGGCATCTGGACACCAGAGGGCAGTATTGCATTTAACAAGAAATGTTGCTAGCAAACTGAAGATATTTACATAAAGCTAGCGTGTTTCTGTTGTTGTTGTTGTTATGTACCCTGAAGTCCACCTGACTCAGTGACCCCTCCTTGGGCTTCTGAGGCAGTATCACTACTGACGTAGATTGCCCAAGTGTGTTTCTAAGACCATACTTTTTGACAGTTGTGTTAAGAATCTATAGAATCTCCTACCTCCTGGACTGCTTCACTAAATCATAATGGGAAAAGATAAAAACACTGCTGATGTTTATATGAACGTGTGCAAAATAAATGATGCTTGCTCTCGGGTGAAAGAAGAAGACAGGGCAACAGAAAGATCATAATGAAGCAGAACACGGTGACACAGCAGGCCTACTGTTAATCTACTTCCTCAGTCATATCAAGAATAATGAATCTAAGCAGTGATGGCCTAGGAACCAAGCACCTACACACACTTCTCACAATCTGAGGGCAATCACATCCTCATACAAAACAAGAGTTCCATTTTTCCAGTCATCCCAACATAGGCTGTTGTTGTGTGCCTTCAGTCAATTCTGACTCATAGCGATCCTACAGGACAGTGAAACTGCCCTATAGGGTTACCTAGGCTGAAATCTTTATAGGAGGGGATT